ACACTAGGCCTGGTGTGTGTGTGTGTGTGTGTGTGTGTGTGTGTGTGTGTGTGTGTGTTGTGTTTTGTGTGCGTGTTTGTGTTTATGTGTATGTGTATGTGTGTATGTGTATGAGTGTGTGTGTGTGTATGAGTGTATGTGTTTGAGTGTGTGTATGTGTATGAGTGTGTGTGTGTATGAGTGTGGTGTGTGTGTATGTGTATGAGTGTGTATGTGTATGAGTTGTTGTATGTGTGTGTGTGTGAGTGTGTATGTGTGTGTGTGTGTGTGTGTGTGTGTATGAGTATGAGTGTGTGTGTGTGTGTATGAGTGTGTGTGTGTGTGTGTGTGTGTGTGTGTGTGTGTGTGTGTGTGTGTGTGTGTGTGTGTGTGTGTGTGTGTGTGTGTGTGTACTCACCTAGTCGCACTCACCTAGCTGTGTTTGCAGGGGTCGAGTTATAGCTCCTGGCCTCACCTCTTCACTGGCCACTACTGGGTCACTCTCCCTGCACCATGAGCATTATTATACCTCTACTTAAAGCTATGAATGGATCCCGCCTCCACCACACCACCTCCCAAACCATTCCACCTCCCGACCACCCTGTGACTGAAGAAATACTTCCTAAAATCCCTGTGATTCATCTGAGTCTTCAACTTCCAACTGTGTCCCTTATTGTTGTGTCCCATCTCTGGAACACTCTGTCTCCGTCCACCTTGTCAATTCCTCTCAATATTTTATATGTCGTTATCATGTCCCCACTATCTCTCCTGTCCTCCAGTGTCGATTCTCCTTAACCTCTCCTCTGTGTGTGTGTGTCTGTGTGTGTGTGTCTGTGTGTGTCTGTCTGTTCTGGAGTTATGGATTGCTGAGTATCTTGGTAGTGTGTAGATGTCTATTTTGTCTTGCTTAAGCCAGGTTTCAGTAAGAAAAATACATAAGAAGGTTGTCTTTAGTGAATCTAGGAGTGCCAGGAGGTCATCATAGTGTTTACTTAGGGATCTAATATTTAAAGTAAAAGGACACAAGTACAACTAATGTGACATTTTATTGTGGCAACGTTTCGCTCTCCAGGAGCTTCATCAAGCCGAAACGTTGCCACAATAAAATGTTACATTAATTGCACTTGTGTCCTTTTACTTTACATATTGTTGGTAATTCTACCAACATATATAGGATCTAACATTGTAATTAAAAATTGTAAAATTTCTGGCATTGCTGAGGCCAGTACTGGCTTCTGTTACTGTGTAGTAAAGGCAGTTGCTTTCAGTTAAATGATGACTGGGATTTAGATTACATAGATTTAGTTCAGGGTCGATGTCAGCATTCAGTATTTAGGTCAACTGGCAAATATTTAAATGATCATGAATTGCAGAAGGGTGAAAGAGGTAATATTAATATCTGTAATAAGGGAGTGAATGAACAATAATGGTGTAAATGCATATTGTTCCAGTAGATTGTAAAAACTAATAAACATATAATGTTAGAGTAGTAATGAAATATAATGAATGATTAAGACTAGATATATCAATAGCACTAACGGTTATTGCAGTAATGTTATTACAGGTCCTCCATCACAAATCCAGCATCATTAGGACCTGTAGTGTGCCGCATTACTGAGTTTGCCGGATTACAGAGTGGTTAGGTTAGAATACACTTAATAAAATTAACCAACTTGACTTGCACAAAGTTCACTGAACATTGGAAAAAATCGAACATTTCCGCTACTTTGAGCTCAATTTCAAGGTATTTTTCATCATGAAAGCAATCAAAATCATGTCTATTTCTGTAATATATCTTCCATTCTATCAAATGAGTCTAAAAAAATGAGAATACAATCATCAAAACCATACGAAAATATACTGCAAAGAGGTGGCTAATGGCTGAGAAGTGAACTCTCTTATTTATCGTCCGTCTTTTTTTTATTTTTGTTGTACGTTAAGAAGCATCTTTCCATCATACATTGCCCAAGTTTCAATGAGAGAGCCCAACAAACAACCGAGAAAAAAAAATATTTACCAAAAATCATATATTGTAAGCCCAAGCCAGGTACTGGAAACAAGTCACTGACTTTTCTGGGTTATCCTAGGTTCTCTATACATACACTGCTATGTATGATAATCTATGTAACTGTATTTGTGTATACCTGAATAAACTTATTTACTTCTAGTCTGTCAACTGAGTACAAGCAACTGCAAATTCACTTATTTCAACTACCCAATAAAGTGGTCAGAAATTGGCAATTTGGCTGATTTCACACAAATTTCAACAGATGCCAATTTCAAAATAGGGTCCAGAATAAACAATGCAGACATTCCTGGCACTAAAATAACATTTTCTCTGTTCATTAGTCACGGCTACAGGCCCCTCTTATATTACTCTTGCTTACCATTTGGAATTCTTATTCACAAAAAAATAGAAGATCTACTGTTATGCAGACTGCTGCATTATTGTAATAATTGTATAAATAATGTCAACCCATTCTTGACTCCGTATTGGAATTTGGACTGGCAGGAAGACAGGTATTGGGCGGTGACGTCATTTGTTTACTCTTGAGTTTCGCTAAAGAATAGAGCATTTTCGCTACTGAGTGCAATTTCAAGGTACTTTTCATCATGAAAGCAATCAAAATCATATCTATTTCTGTAATATATCTTTCATTCTGTCAAATGAGACCGAAAAAATGAGAATATAACCATAAAAACCATACAAAAATATACCGCTAAGCGGCTGCTAATGGCTGAGACGTGAACTCCGCTATTTATGGTCTGATTTCTTTCATTTCTGGTGTACGTTAAGAAGCATCTTTCCATCAGACATTGCCCAAAGTATGAATAAGATAACTCACCAAACAAGTGAGAAAATAATAATATAATAATAATGATAATAATAATATTTTTATTTACTACACATACATGTACAAGGTATACAGGCCTAGCTGACATCACTGACATACTATTATATAGAAAGCCACTTGTTATGCAGAGTATTGCAAGAAAATTATGTCAGTGTCCCAGGATAACACCCACACTAGTCGACTAACACCCAGGTACCCATTTACTGACGAGTAAATATAGACAACAGTTGTAAAGAAACATGCCTAATGTTTCTACCCTGGCTGGGAATCGAATATTTACCAAAAATCATATATGACTAACACAAGCCAGGTACTAGAAATAAGCCACGTTGACTTTTTTGGGTTATCCTAGGTTCTCTACACATATGCTGCTGTGTGTGATAATCTATATAGAGAAAATAACTTTTTTGTTTCAGGTTTATGGTGGAGTACAAGTGTATATCACAGTTAGCCCTGTGCTACACTCTGTTTTCTCTAATATAAGCCCCCAAGACAGGGATAGGAGAATGGTATTTGTATACCATATCCTCTTCATACTTCCGTCGAACTGCTCGGTGTTATGCCAAATATTATTTATTCTGGAGTATTTAACATGTTTTATGTTATTTATATTGTTTATTATGTCATATTAGATCAATTGTGATAGGCAAATAAGCTGTAGTGTTGATATTAGCGTAATAATAAAGCATATTCTCCTGCATCATGAGACTGAGCTCATGGCAACCGACTGTGGCTTCAAAGCCACCTTATCTTTAATGGATAATGTACTGTGTAGGTGCTTTACATAATGAGAAGCATTTATTTTATTCATTGGAACCATGGCTAGGGCTAAAAGTAAGCAGGTTAAAACAATAAATGGAGAAAAAGAAATTGGAATGACTTATGCAGCAAGTAGCACCACCAAACAGTAGCAGCAGGTTGTTGTGGCGACCCTGGAAATTTGAAATTATGCTAGCCAAAATTAGTGCCGAATAACTGATTGCCAGATTTGTGATAGCGGACCTGTATAAACTGTACACAATAGACAGTAAAAAACTTAAGGTCATAAATCAGTAGCACCTAACTTTGGATTGTTATTGCACTATAATATAAACTGCACACAATACAGTAAAAAATACAGTGTATAGTTCTATACTAATAAAGGATGGTAAAATATAGTTACAAATATAAAAAAAAAATAAAAAAAAAAGATACAAATACAAAAAAAAAAAAAAATTGTATACCTTTTAAAACAAACAAAATGGTGATCTTGAGGTGTCTACTGTATAGTCCTTGTGGCTTAGCGCTTCTTTTTGATTATAATAATAATAATAATAATAATAATAATAATTGAGGTGTCTAATGAGTGTATGAACTATGAGGTAGTGTTGGAACTACTTAGACAATTCACTGCTGTCAAACTGACAAAATAGAAATATGAAAACTAGGTTTTATAGAGAATAATTGGAAATATAACTTGAGTTTTATACCACTACTCATGGAAAGTGAGTACAAACTGCATTTTATTCTGACTCAGTTAGGCCAGCATCACTTCAAAAATTTTTTTAGTTCATGTTCAGTAGAAATGAAATATCTCCTTCCTGTTCATTCTTTTTTGACTGCAATTTTCCCATCCCCTGCAAAGCAATGGTGGATTTTTTTGTTCATGTCGTAGCTTTCTTAGTTTACATAGATTTTGTCTTGTTTTGGTCAGGCACTCAATGACATATACATCAGTTTTCATAGATAGAGATGTTCTTAATAGGTCATTTCTTCGTGAGCTAGAGTTGAACTTTAGTATCAATGATTTTTCCCAGTTTGATAACCCAGCAATTTACACTCATTTATCTCATCACTAGGTATGCTGAGACGAAGTTGGTCTTGGATTATCATTGGCTTGACATCCCTCATTTTGAGAATTCTATTTATCCAGCCTATCATTTCCTGTGCAATTGTGATCATAACATTGTTATGATCATTGAAGGTGAGAGGGAGAGGGAAGGAATATCTTCAGGTGATTCAAAGAAATTATACACATTTGAAGTAAATTCATGTGAAACATCTAACTCATCATAAATGGAAGTTCCAGAATGACAAGAGACAAAAACTTTAAAGGATTAAAATCACAAAATGCACACTTCCTAGAAACAACAGTGACTGATTAACCATAAAAACATTGTAACTTACATCAACAGACTCTGCCACATCGATGTCACCACTGTGGTCGTCATCTAACTGGGAGTGAAGACTCTTGATAGCCTCATAATTCGGTATCTCTTCAGGAACTAAGCACAGCTCATCCACAACTACACAACCTGCAATATAATAGTTTATTCAATGTTGTCCTTGTCCTCAATAAAAATAAAAATTAATTTTTGGATACAAGCTATAGCAATGTTTTAGCTCATGTTACAGGGGGTTACAGGACCCACAAGCAAAACTCTAGCAATATTGGGGTAAATATATAGATTGCAGGAAATGACATTATTATTAGTTGGAGACAGCTGGCTTGATTCTGGCATAAGTATTAATCTTGTGGGTAGAGAGTTGGTGTGTTAGGCCTACATTTCAATAGAATAGTTCACTTGGAAGCAAACCACAAATTTTTAATTATTATATTGTATGAGCAGTACTTTAAAGGTGTACTATTATTATTACTATAAAGTTTAAGAGAGTTGTAGTGTTAGAGGAAAAAAATCAAAAGAGTATTAATGCTGTGGAAAATTTTGATAATTTTTCCTGTGATCTGTGTGTAACAAGTGATGGGAATAATAGTGTGCAAAAAATCTTGTATCTTCACTGACTTTTAAAATGTGTTAAGTAAGTTTATTCAGGAATACACAAATAGTGTTACATAGATTATCATACATAGCAGCATATATGTAAAGAACCTAGGATAACCCAAAAAAGTCAGACAAAGGGACTTATTTCCATTGGGGTCCTTTGTATCACATGACGACCAATATTCTCTATAATTTCCTTATACGTATATTGTAGGGAGTTGATTGAGGAAAAATTGTTGCCATTTAGAGGAAATTAATATTCAAATAACCGAGGAGTGTGGCAGAATTTGATTGTGGGTAATCGAGGCTGATGGAGGGTGTATCAGCAAGAACTGGGGACCATGAAATGAGTGAATAATAACATGTATCAGGAAGCGTTCGGATACACTGTAATCTGCTCATAATAAGGCTGACAATGAAGATCCCCTCAAGGTAGGTTCCTTGATACTCATGAGGGGCTCTTGATCTAGGGAATTGGATCCGTCTACCTGGAGGGTATTCCAGGGATCAACGCCCTTGTGGCCCAGGCCATGACCAGGCCTCCTGGTAGATCAGGGCCTGATCGACGAAGCTGCTACTGGTGGCCGCACATAGTCCAGCATATGAACTACAGCCCTGCTGATCTGGCACCAACTTTAGGTATCTGTCCAGCTCCCTCTTGAAGACAACCATTAGGGGTCTATTGGTAATTCCCCTCAAGGATTGTGGGAGGCACTTGAACAGTCTTGGGCCCCAAACACTTACTGTGTTTTCTTAGTGCACTAATGGTGCCCCTACTTTTCATTGGGGGTACGTTGCATCACCTGCCAAGACTTTTGCTTTCATAGGGAGTGATTTCTGTGTGCAAATTAGGGACCAGTCCCTCCATGATCTTCCAGGTGTAGATTATGATGCATCTCTCTCACCTGCACTCCAGTGAGTACAAGTCAAGTGCTTCCAAGCATTCCCAGTAGTTAAGGTGTATGATGGAACTTATATATGCAGTAAAGGCTCTCTGTACATTCTCTAGATCTGCAATTTCACCTGTTTTGAATGGAGATGTTAATGTATAGCAGTATTCCAGCCTAGAGAGAATAAGTGATTTAAAAAGGATCATCACTGGCTTGGCATCTGTCTTGAATGTTCTCATTATCCCTCCTATCAGTTTCCTTGCAGATGTGATAGTGGTACTGTTGTGGTCCTTGAAGGTGAGATCCTCAGACATTACCACTCCCAGGTCCTTCACATTATTTTTCCGCTCTATTGTGTGATTACAGTTTGTAGTATAAAGTAGACCCCCGGTTTTCATCCTTAATCCATTCCAAAAGGGCGGCCAAAATCCAAAATGAATGAAAACCGAAATAATATTTCCCATAAGAAATAATGTAAATCCAATTAATCCATATCAGACACCCAAAAATATTAACAAAATATATATTTTATAGAGAATAACTATGGTGTTGCAGCTCTTCCCTGTGGTTGTCCACCAACTCTTCCATATCCTGGCCACTCACATCCAACCCCATCGACTTCCTCAAAGCCACAAGAGATTCCACAACAGGCATAGTGTTGTCAAGTTTACACTAACTTATACAGTGGACCCTCGACCAACGATATTAATCCATTCCTGAGAGCTCATCGTTAATCGAAATTATCGTTAGTCGAGTTAATTTTCCCCATAAGAAATAATGGAAAGCAAATTAATCCGTGCAAGACACCCAAAAGTATTGAAAAAAAAATTTCTTACCACATGAAATATTAATTTTAATACACACAAACTGAAGAAGACATGTACAATTACATGACACTTACCTTTATTGAAGATCTGGTGATGATTGATGGGATGGGAGGAGGAGAGACTGTGGATGGTGTTAGTGTTTAGAAGGGGAATCCCCTTCCATTAGGACTTGAGGTGTCAAGTCCTTTTCCAGGGTTACTTCCCTTCTTTTAATGCCACTAGGACCAGCTTGAGAGTCACTGGACCTCTGTCGCACAACATATCTTTCCATAGAGGCCTGTACCTCCCGTTCCTTTATGACATTCCTAAAGCATTTCACAACATTGTCAGTATCACAATTAAACACTTGTTCAGGTTTCAATTCTTCACTGTCTATGTACTCCTTGAATTCCTGCACATATTTTTCAGCTGCTTTTTGGTCCAAACTGGCAGCCTCACCATGCCTTATCACACTATGTATGCCACTACAATTCTTAAATCTCTCAAACCAACCTTTGCTGGCCTTAAATTCACTCACATCACCACTAGTTGCTGGCATTTTTCTAATTAAATCCTCATGCAACTTCCTAGCCTTTTCACATATGATCGCTTGAGAGATGCTATCTCCTGCTATCTCTTTTTCGTTTATCCACACCAATAACAGTCTCTCAACATCTTCTATCACTTGCGATCTCAGTTTCGAAAACATAGTTGCACCTTTGGCAAGAACAGCTTCCTTGATTGCCGTTTTTTTGGCCACAATAGTAGCAATGGTTGATTGGGGTTTTGTGTACAACCTGGCCAGCTCGGAGACACGCACTCCACTTTCATACTTAGCAATGATCTCTTTCTTCATATCCATAGTAATTCTCACCCTTTTTGCTGTAGGGTTGGCACTAGAAGCTTTCTTGGGGCCCATGGTGACTTATTTTGCAGGTGCAATCACTAAAATCGCTGTGATAGTATGAAATGTTCCAATTGTATGTTTGGATGGGACCGCGGTGGCTGGCTGGCTTGTAAACACTGGCCACAAGTGGAGGCGTCTCAGATGGAACGAATCGTGTTGGTCGAGTTTTTTAGCGCAAGCCGAGGCAAAATTTTTGCGTTAAAATGTATCGCTAGTCGGATTTTATGTTAGACGATGCCATCATTGGTCGAGGGTCCACTGTATTAAGTTAGTAATATAAGTAGGCATTAAAAAACAATAAAAAGTAAAATACATACACAGTACATTCATTACTTATTAAAATATTTGTAGTCTTAATTTAGGGCAAGAGGTGAGTACAGGTGGCCCTCCACATTCGTGAGCTTCGAATATCGCAAATGCTCAACTGCCCAATCACATTTATGCTTCCTGCAGTGTCCCTACTACCCTCCCTCTTGCCCCCTTAACTGGCAGCCACCTTGCCACTCATGATATTGATAGGAGCATAATTCCCTACAAAACTCTGTAGATATGAAGAAGAAATGATCTTAGTTGCCCATCACAATGTTCTTCACAAGGAAGCCTGCCACTACTCCCATTGCTAACTCTGACTCTAGTTATGTTGATGATCCATCGCCTATTATCAATAGTGATGCTGACAGTAGAGTTAGAATCCACACACTAGACTCATCATGCTATGCAGTTACACTCCATATACAGTGAACTCTCTTTTCGTCGATCTCTGTTACCATCGATTTCCGCTTTCACTTTTTCGTCAAAATATTGGTTCGGTTTTCGTCGATTTCCTCCATTTTCGTCGATGGTATGGAACCTGTCCACTGCCCAGAGCGCACACAAAGCTGCCTCCCACACGCTTTCTCAGGCAGCGTCACGTTGTTTCTTGGTGGGTGAACATATCCTGCTTGGTCATACGAAACATTTCATAATAATCCATTGTTTGTGGCACTTGTTTGTGTGTAACTGCTAAATAAGTCATCATGGGCCCAAAGAAAGCTTCTAGTGCCAGCCCTTTGGTAAAGAATCTGAGAAACACAATAGAATTCAAGAAAAAGTTTGTAGAAAAATACGAAAGTGGTGGTGGTAGAGGGTGGTAGTGGTTGTGATGGTGGTAGAGGGTGGTAGTGATGGTGGTAGAGGGTGGTAGAGGGTGGTAGTGATGGTGGTAGAGGGTGGTAGTGATGGTGGTAATGATGGTGGTAGAGGGCTACAGAAAACACCGCTGCCTCAGCTGCTGCCTTCACTACCATTATGTACAGCTTATGCTCTCAGTGGTCTTTATACACCCAACAACAACAACAGAACACCTCTCGTGACATACATGATTTATTTTATTCATTCTAGAGTATATGTCTCCCTCTCCCCTTTGCTCCATCTGCCATATACCAACAAGAGTCTTCAATAAAAGGTAAGTGTGATGTTAAATGTTCATTTATGTATCTTATTAGTACTTTATATTTATCTGTCATTCTTTTCTGCATGTAAATCTATATTTAAGCTAGGGAAGTGGCTAGGGCAGTGACCCCTGAGAAATACTTGGTACTTAGAGTCCTTATGGAGGGGGATTCCCCTTCCAAACAATAACCTCTCTTCCCTCTCCCCTCCTCCCTGTCTTCCATCAACAATAGCCTTCAATAAAGGTAAGTGTCATGTTGAATGTACATTCTTTTGAGCATGTAAATCTATTTATAAGGTAAAAAAAAATTTTTTGTTAATATTTCTGGGTGTCTGGAACAGATTTATTGGATTTATGTTATTTCTTATGGGGAAAATGGGTTCCATTTTCACCAATCGCTCTGGAACGGATTAAACACAAAAACCGAGGGTCCACTGTAATCACCTCCACTCAACTGTCATCAGTAACTGCATGGCTATCATCACCATCATCCTCAT